AGCAGCAGCTAGAGCACCTACTGGCCACTGCCTCACCTTTTGGAGCTGAGCCTGGCCACTGTCTGATGAGTGGCCTCAAGGACTCCCTTCAGAACACCAGCATACAATCCAAGCAGAGCTGCCAGGGACCTCTGTGCACAAAGACCCTTCCTGCTCCACCTCTTAAGGTCACACAGTTCTCACTGGCAACACAAACGTGCTTCAAGAGAGTGCAAACACCAAGAAAACCAGCATCAACTAAGCACCGTAGCAATAACGTCACATGACAGGTTTTTGTTCTTACCTGTGTACTTTGCTGGCAGGTGGAGATCTCAGCCATACAAAACCATGAGAGATCAATGACTCAGTGGTGTCACATAGATGCCTGCAAATGGAGCCCCAGCCATTCCTGCTGCATTACAAGACCGAAAGGGATCTAGAGGACAGAGCTACATCGTAACCATGTCCAGGAGACTGTACACATCCTAGGCGCATGGAATCTGGGGTCACAGTACTTCTACTCAACAGTAAGATGCCAAGTTTCAAAGGTTTCTTTCCAGGCTCCAAACAAATCTTTCAGAAATTCAGAAATCACCCCATGAGATTAGTTCATAAACTTTGTTTAAGGACCCACTCTGTGCATGCCAGAGGCCTTCTACTCTCTAAAATCTTACAATGTTTGAAGAGAGACAGTGACACAAGAAACAACCACAGGACCTGCAGCTGCTACAAAAGGTAACAAATAGTAGGCACTGTGGGGACACTGAGGCAGCAGCAAGACAGGGTGCCTGGGGACTTCCAGGAAAATGGCAGAGTGATGAACAACAGACAAAGAGCCTTTGCGAGATTTGATGTCCAAACACTGGAAGACAGCAGCATGAAGAAGAGAAGGAGGGAAGTAGGTCCCCTGGGACCCAGGAAGGACCTGAAGTGAGAACTAAAGCCCATGGGGAGAGGAAAAGGAGAAACTTCAGTGAAGAAGGAGGAGACAGGCAGCGCTTTATCCCTGAATCTTGACTCACTGGTGGGAGGGGCAGTTTGAAACTACGGATGCATGGTAACTGTTGGAGACCCCAGAGGCCGGCGACCCCATAGGCCTCCATGGAGAAGTGCACAGTGGAGCAATACGGTGGACACAGCAGACTGCCATGGCTGGTGAGTTGTTCCAGAGAGACATCCTGCAAGAGAGGACAACTGGCCAGGACCCATCTTGGAGAGGGACCAACTGAGCTCAGGACCCTCCTGGCTCCACCTAATGGCTCCCAGCTGAGTCCAAGCCTACAGAGGACATAGGGACTGCAGCAGGATAGGCAAGTCCGATTCCAGCCTAGCAGCCAGAGGCCAGCCTAAACTTCAGCGGAAAAAGGGGTACAGACCACCTTTCTAGCTGCTGGCTTGCTACAATTGATGGTGGATCTGGGCTCTGCCCATGTTGTCTACCAGTGGGAGCACAGACACAACTCAAACTGGACATTTTCTCATTTTCTTTTTTAAAATTTTTTTCTCTCTTGTTTTTATGTTTGTTTTTTCCTCGTTGTTTGTTCTTATTTTAATGAGTATGAACACAGTTTTGAGCTTTTTTGTTATTGTTCTGTTCTGTTCTTGTTTTTAGTTCTTCCTTCTCTCTTTCCTTCCTGTCTTCTGCACCAGTTTCCCAAAGTTTGGAGATCCTCCTATGTCCTCCAGCCTTTCTTCTAAACTCTTTCTTTTCTTCTATTTCTCTATTTTTTCCTCCTAACCCCTTTTAAATTTTCTCCACTGAGTGTAAAACTGCAATACTGACAGCTTATTTACTGCATATAATTTTTTGGTTGGTTTTAGATTTTGTTATATAACCACTAATCTACGTCATATGGTTAAAGGTGGCAAATTAATAGTTACCTTCTGTTTGTCATTTTCTAGACTGTGTTTGATGCTATAGTTATTGTTGATTGTACCACTTTAGCCAAAGTGACATAGTTGTTCTAATCAGTTGTTCTTCCTGGTATACCAGGACCAAGATTGCTGAGAGTCATAAAAAATACTATAGGCCAGTGCCAAAGAAGGGGCTGGGTCAAGTAGATGGCAACTTTTCATCCTTAATAAACTGAAGAGGTAGGATCATGCAACAGACTCAGAACTCAAAAGCCAGGTGCATCTAGAAGACACTTCTCAAAAGTAATCATTGCCTAAAGGTTCTAAATACAAGCAATAAAGTTCACCATAGGCAATTTATAACCATCAACTCAGGAACTGAGCTTTTTAAAAATACAAAATAAGAAGACACTTAAACAAGATGCAACGCCAGACTTCCAGCTCACCAAATACAACCCAGGTGCCCATGAGGTGGGACAATCTGAAAGCCCCCACCTGGACACTCTAAAGTGATATCACTCTAAAGTGATAACAACAAAGCAAGGTTCTAGAAAAAAATCACATCAGAAATAATTGCCTTCATTGTTGTTTTGTTAGTTTTTTAATCTTTAAAATAAAAATGCAGAAATAATTTCTCAAGTAACTACAGAGATTATGACCATAATGAAAGACATGCTTAATGACTCTAGAGCAGATACAGATTTTTTAAAAATAAAGCTCAGGAAAATGTTGGAAACCATGAATGTCCAACATAGGAAAAAATATAATCTATAAAACAGATTCAAATAGATATCCAAGGGATTAAAAATTCCATTGAAAGTATATGCAGCAGAATGAGCTAGTATGAGGACAGAATCTCGGATATAGAACACAAGACTGTGGTTAGAGATCAAGAAAAGAAAAATATTTCAAAAATACGAAGGGACCATGAGAAATCAATCCAGCAGATAGTAGACAATGCAAAGAAGAGTAACGAAAAAAAGAGTTTTACATTGGAGTCAATGAAAAATCAGAAGATAGCACAAATAACATAAAAAGTCTGTTCATAGGCATCACAGCAGGAAACTTCCCACCCAGAGGAAAAGAATTTAACATGCAAAGCTGGGCATGGTGGCGCCCATCTGTAATCCCAGCACTCGGGAGGCTGAGGCAGGAAGATCATTGCGAGTATGAGGCCAGCCTGGGCTACAAAGTGAGTTCAAGGCCAGCCTGAACTGCGTAGCAAGAACATGTCTCAAAAAAGACAACAACAGAAAAAAAGAATTTAACATGCAGTAAGAGATGCATAGAGAACTCCAATTAGCCATGATCAAAAAAATCTACACCAAGACATATAATAGTCAAGATTACAGAAATTCAACACAAGAACAGAAAATTAAAAGCAATTACAGAAAAGAAACAAATCACCTATAAAGGAAAATCCATCAGAATCACAGTAGACTTCTAAACACAAACCCTTATGTCAAGGAGAGCTCGGACTGAAGTATTTCAAGCTCTGAAAGAAAATAACCTCTAATCCAGACTGATGTACCCCACAAAACTATTTTTCAAAATTGATGGAGAAATAAGATTTCCATGACAAAGAGCAACGGAGGAAATTCATGAATACCTAACCAGTACTCCAAATGTTTTAAAGGACATTCTAGAAAGAGGTAAGAAGGATTATAATTCCATGAACTCCACCAGAATGAATCCACCAGGAAAGGCAAACAAACAGAGGGGCAAAAAGGGAGCCAGCAACAGGAAAATAACATGACAAGGATAAATCAATACATATCAGTTATAAACATCAATGTTAATGGTCTCAATTCACCAATAAAAGAAACACATTGGCAGAATGGATCAAAAAACAAAATCCAATAATATGCTGTATACAAGAAACACATTTAATTCAAAAAGAAATTCAAAGAATGAAAGTCAAAGGATGGAAAACAATACTCAATGCAACTCCATGCAACCCAGAAAAAAGCAGGGGTAGTTATTCTATTTGCAGACAAAGTGTTTTTCAAGCCAAGACTGACTAAGAGAGACAAAGAAGGTCACTACATCCTTGTAAAGGGAAAAATCCGAGAGGAAGAGATAACAAGCATAAATATATATGCAACAAATCAGTGCACCCAACTATATCAAGTATTAACAGATATGAAAAATCAAATACGAACTAAAACAATTATAATAGGGGACCTCAATACCCCACTGTCAGAAATAGAACCAAGTACACAAAAACTCAGCAAAGAAATAACAGAACTGAATCAAACTTTTGAACAAATGGACTTAGCAGATATCTACAGAGTGTTCTACCCCACAACATCAGAATGCACATTCTCCTCAGTTATACTTGGGACATTCTCCAAAACAGACCACATAGAACACGCTTAAGTAAATGCAAAGGAATTGAAATTATCCCATGCATATTATCACACCATGGTATAATGAAATTAGAACTCAATGGCAAAAGAAACCATAAGAAGTTCATAAACACATGGAAATTAAATAACACTCTCCTGAACAACCAATGGGTCACAGATGAAATTAAAGAAGAAATTAGACAGCTTCTACAATTAAATAATGATGCCAGTACAAATACCATTATGGGACACAATGAAAGCAGTCCTCCAAGGAAAATTTATAGCAGTGAATACCCATATAAGGAAAACAGAGCAAGCTCAAATAAATAACTTAATGTTGAAGACAGAATGCCTGATACCTTGAAGACAGGGTGCCTGAAACTAAGGTGAGAAATCCAAGGGAGTAAGTAGGCACCGGTCCACAACATGGGGAGGGTAAGCAAAGAGCAGGCAGGAGAGGAGCTGCCCCGTTCCTGTGCCATTATTGTGGGGCTCAGACAGCAGAGCCAGCTGAATGCTCAGGAGCACAAACGGAAGAGGCCAGACTGGTCCCTCACCACCCAGAGGGAAGGACACAGACACAGAACCAGCAGGCTAAATGCTCATGGGGCTCTGCCATTTGACAGGCACAGACTGTAGCAAGTATGGAAGCCAGGGCCTTGACTCTCATCCGAGACACCTACACTCTGAGGACTGCTATAAACCAGACACACAGTCAACCAGAATGAGTCCTGTGAAGACGTCTACATGTGACCAGAGCTGGAGATAGCCCTGGAGAGAGGCAAGTCTTGCCTCCAGGCAGCAGTGGGCCCAACTCACTTGACGATGGGCAGCTTTGTGAAAGGTACTGGAGGCAGCGTGAGCCCGTCAGGGAGGGTGAGGAGCTCCATTGTCCCAGGACACTTGGATGTGTAATTCTCCAGACTTTGAGTCACATCTTTCTTTTCTGTAAACAAACACAAAATACAGGTTCATTAGACAAAAGTACAAGTGAGTGGCTTTTATTTGTTTTATTTGGTGCAATCCATGCCAGTCCAACAAGTCCAATCTTCCAAGAGAAATAAAGCGGTAGTGATCACCAGAGGCAAGAACAAAGCCACAACCTCAACTGATTTATCTGAATAATCACTAGTGGCTGCTCCACTTCAGGGCCTATTGGTAAAAATAAAACTAAGTTTCTGTCCTCTAGGGGCCCTCCTTTCCTGAGAAAATAAGCCCTTACCAATCTGCAAGAAAGGCTGTAGGCAGGATAGAGAATTGATGTATTTCATAACAATAGTTCTCCGCCAAGCACATGTCAGGGCTTGTCCCCAAACACCTTGTAGTCTATCCATCTAACTGATATTCAAGCAAATAATCACAAAATAATACTTTTCATGCAAATACAGAGTTTCGTGAGGTAAGACTGTTTTCCTCTCCCACCCCACTCCTTTCAGAAAGGAAAACAAGACAGAGATGGTGGTAATAATGTTTTTGCCCATTGGACATTCTAGACACTTGCTCAAACTTTGAGATGACTCCAGCACTGTGAGCCTGAGAGCTTACCACATGCTCTCAGGTGATAATAAATGGGGACGGCAGCCCACACCATCCCCATGTTATAAGTGAAAAACCAAGGGAAGGGACCTACCTGTCAAAGGTCATGCACTTGGCCCTAAAGCCATCTTCTCACTTCAGTATTTTAAAGAAATGAGAAAAATAAGAACTTGTGGGATGGGTGTGGATGAGAGTACAATCAGAACAGCACAGTGGGACCCAAGCTTGAGTAAATGGTGTGGCCTTCTCTAACCTTCCATGCAGCCACCACAAGCGAAATAGTGTTTCTGAGCCTCAGGTTCCTGCAGAAAGAGTAGTGCCTATCTAAGGAGTCACCAAGAATAAAATGAGATAGTGCCTTGAAAATCAATGACCCAAAGATTTGAGCACAGGATAAACTGGAATGATGACCACTGTTACTATCATTATCATCCAGCTACACTTACGGCAATTCCAGATGGTGGACAGAGAATACATAAGGGACTACAGAGTTAGCCTAAGTGCTCCACTCAGGCTGGGGACCACAAGTAATAAATATCAAGGCAAAGACTTCCTAGATCTCAGGCACAGATACTGATTGATAAACTGCTGCTGTAAGAATTTTCTGTCTAAGCAGCCTTCTTTAGGAAGCAAGAAAGTAAGCAGAATTATTTTTTAATACAATATACTAATGATAATCTCCAACATGAAAAAAATCTTAAAGTAATCAAATCATCCCCAATTTATATATGATAAGTCTCCCAAAGGGCTCTAGCTGATACCATGAAAATTATCTAATTTGCCTAATGTTGAGTGGAGCACTTATAGTTTAGATGTCTTATTAGGTTAAATTATACACACACACTCTCTCAGTAAACGCTGCTAAAATGAAGAAGGAAATTAATCTATCAGTGATGTCTAACGCTACTCACCAAGTATCCAAAAAGTCAGTCCAGCCTAAAGCCTACCTAAGCTGTGAGTAGCCTGGCTAGTAAGGAAGAAAGGTACACAGCAGCTGAGGTCAGGCCCAGTCCCAGGCCTTTCTTTCATCCGGGACCTTCACGCCTGTGCCAAGGGTCCATTGTTTTCTATGAAGTTGAGAGACCTCAGCATTCACTTATCCCCCTTGACTGCCATAGCTATGCCTGATGGCTCCCTGCTAGATATGTTTATGCTTCACCCACTGCTGTGGTCTGAGTGTGTCCCCCAGAATTCACGTGTTGGAAACTTTACCCCTAATTCAAGTGTCAGGACATGGGGACTCTGGGGAAGCTTTTAGGTCATAAGCGCTCTGCCCTTGTGAATAGATCAGTGCCACAGTAAAAGGAAATGCCATAATAAGAAGCAGTTTGGGGGCTGGGCATTTAGCTCAGCGGCAAAAGCGCCTGCCTGGCAAGTGCAAGGTCGTGAGTTCGGTTCCCGGTACCGGAGAAAAAACAAACAAGAAGCAGTTTGGCCCCTTTTCATACTTTATACCCTTCTACCTACAGGCATCTGAGTACACAATGTTTCCCTCCCATGGAAGACACAGTATTCAAAGCGCCATCTAGCAAGCAGAGGGCAGCCCTTAGCAAATGGCAGTGCTTTGATCTTAGACTTCCAGCCTTCAAAAGTGAGAGAAATAAAGTCCTGTTCTTTGTAAAATACCCAGTTGGTGTTATTTGTAACAGCACCAGAAGTAGACTAAGACCCCCCAAACCTCAATAGTCAAATACTAATCTGCTAAGGTAAAACAGTCTGCTTCAGGAACAGAGAAGGTCCAAGGACATGATCAAATCATAGGATGATTTTTTAATGGTCTCCTGTTTTCATGGCTGTCACCACACTCCCACCCAGAGGTGCTGACTTCTGCAGGGCACAGGAACATGGACTGCTTCCCAGCTTTTCTTTTCACATTGCAACCATGGGACATCGTGATCATTTTAGTGAGGTTTGCAGAGTGAGCTGCTGCTGTTCAATCCCCAGCACGGCCTATCAATTATAAAGTTCCCATTGACCTTTTTCCTAATGGATTTGAGCATCTGCTATAAATTGTTGCCCAGATCTGCTATTTAATCAGGGATTACAAAATGGTGACTTTCTAATTCTGTAATTTCTCTGTACTTATAACAGAATTTGTATTTGAGGAAGGATTTTTCTCTTCATCAACCATTTGGCTATCTTAAAACATGATGATATTGACAGGAAGATTAATAAATGCTTATATTTTTGGCTTCATTCACTGTGTAGAAAATAGTGCCTGATTAGCTTCTGAGGTGACCAAGGAGCTGTATATTATTCAGTACCATTATGAAGCAGTAGATTTTTATGTACTTGATTGGTGTCACATTCTTTTTCAGATTGTCCCATCTTTGTCCAGGGGGAGTCCTGGACAAAGGGTTAGTTCCTGTATCCTTTGGACATTACTCTTTGATAGCTTTCTTTCTTTCCAGCCCCAGACCAGAACTAAATCACTTCTAAGACTCTGATTCCTTTAAATAGGAAATAGTGTTCAGAGACCAGAGAACCTAGAGAATCTCACAGCTACTGAATGCTTACTGTCTCTTTAGGCCTTTATAAAGAAAAGACAATTTACAAAATGTTTAAAGTGCTAAGACTCTAAGTGATTTTTACTTTACATCTTTTTTTTAAAGTCTGATGACTAAATATAAAGGGTTTGGTAATACAAGCTCCTTAAAGGGGAGGATATCTTGTCATTACTCACAATTCCATTTTCTAAGCACTTTCTATGTGCCAAATATTATTCTATATTGTTCAGACTATAAAATTCTTAAGGCAAGGGATCCTAGTATATAACAGAATGTTAATATTCTCTCATTCAAAATAGATATGTAATACTCTCCTACAAAATCACTGCCAAAGGAGGGTAAAAGCATTATTAACACCCTTGAAAGACAGTAAAAACTAGCTTGAAGAAAATCTCATAAATTTGATGATAAATTGGTATTAAATGCTACCAGAAATAATTAGTAATTTTAAGCATAATATTAACATTATGATTATATAATAAAATTCTGGTTATTTACAAATGCAGACTAAAGTACGAAGAGGTGAAATGACATAAGGTCTCTGGGATTTTCTTCAATCCAACAAATTAAAAAGCCAAAGGTGATGTAAATTGTATGCAAAGCTCAAAGACCACTGAACCTCGGCAGCTGGTATACAGGGACCTGTTTTACCATTCCTTGTACTTTTATGTTTGAAAGTACTTCAAAGGCCACACAGAGGAACAAAGCTGAATGAATCCTCCAGTATCAACAGATGAGGCCTGACCGCTGCTACCTTATGTCACCATAAGGTCAGAAAAAGAGACAAGGCCCTGGTAGCTGCCTGTTTGTTCCTCATGCCAAACTGAAATGAAGCTTCTGATAAATCTTCACATTCTCAAAGCGTAACTCCTTAATTTACTAAAACTCAATATATCCCATTTCATTTTTATCAGGCTATCCAACAATTATTTCCACCAAATTAGAGCATCTGATGCCCTCAAGAGCTATATTTTTCACCCCAGAAATTGAATACTGCATGCAGATAAAAAAAAATTTTATAAAAACTAGTTGTTACCTAATTATATTGTTCTCAATAAAAGCATAAAATGTGATCACCAAATTTTTTACCATAAACAATTCACATGCCATTTAGTATTTCAAGAGTTGACACTGGCATGAAAACCAGCACATCATGATTTCACAATTTATTCTTGTATCTTCAAAATAATAATCTGTGACAACCATGTTTGCAATAAGTCAGTTTTGGTGTTCTAAACAGGTAAAGAATAGAAAGAGAAGAAAAAAGTAAAGGTTTTTTCCCAAATCTGAGAGGAAAAAAAAAAAAAAAAAACAGGACAAAAGAAAACGAAGAATAGAGAAGGAAAAGTACAAATGTGGTTTGATACAATCTGAAATTGTATTTTCAGAATCAATTCTAGTATTTCCACTTACAGAAACCACAATTAATATTTGAATTGTTTTAATGAATATTATCGATCTTTCAACATAATTACACTGGTGAGAAAAGGAAATACTGTCAATGGAAATGTAGATTAAAGAAAACAGTTTAAAAAAAAACAGTAAAGAGGTTCCTAAAGAAAATAAAAATACATCTACAATCCAACCCCACAATCCCTTCTCTGGGCATATACCCAAAGGAGTTGGAATCACTCCCTCTTAAAGACATCTGGGTTCCATGGGCACTGCAGCATGAGTCACAATATTCAAGATACAGAAACAATTTAAAGGTCTACTGATGAAACAAATGGATAAAGAAAATGTGAGATATATACAACTGAATATTATTCAGGCTTAGAAAAGGAGAGCCTGTCATTTGTCTCAAAATAGATAGAACTGGAAGACATTCTACTCACTGAAATAATCCAGAAACAGAAGATAAATGTTGCATAAACCATTTATAGGTGTAATTTTTTTAAAGGAG